CCGGCGATGTGCCGGAACCGTGCCGGCGGCACAGCAACCCCCCTGTCAGCACGGGATGAATCTGACCCCGGGAAATAACCTCGACATCTGCTTGCCGTGGAACCAGATGAGTTTCACCAGGTTTTCCGACACTGCCTGCAGCTCTCCAGGCTGGAGACCGTTCCGCGGCGCTGTGCCTCACATCTGCTCCCCGCGAGCGCCCGGCGCAGCCTTGCGGGGCCACCAGCACCCCAAACCGCCGGGCTGCCATTTGGGCGGCACGACCATCGGCACTCGCACAGTGCTGACGGACTGTGACACGTAAAGTCCACGTCCAACTCATCTAGCCAAAAAGCGGTGCTCATCTAGCCGAAAAGCCCACACTCCCTCTCTGCCCTGCCAGCCCTGTCCCCGGCCACATCGTCTGCCTTGTGCCTCCAGCTCCGACTCTACCCATTCGGTAGTACTAATTTGCTTATTAGACAGCTAAGAGCTGTGAAGTGCCATCAATTAAAACTTGTGAAGTGCTTTGAGCCCTTCCAAGGAGAGAGGTTTCTGGCGCGGAGAGCGGCGCGGCGTCTGACCGCTGCCGGCGCGTGGCCGTGCGCCTGCGGAGCGGGGACAGCCCCATCGCCCCCCTCGTGCCCTCTCCATCCCCTGCGCACGCCGAGGGAGAGGGGCTGGGAGGAGAAAGCCCCACGTAACCCCTCCAGCCAGGAGGCTCCGCGTGCTCTAGAGCATCCTTCCACCTCTGCCAAGGTCAGCATCAACTGTCACCTTCAGACTACGCTGCTGCCACTGTAAAGGCCAGCCCGGAACGCGGCCGTCCCTCCAGAAGCAGTGCAGCCCCACGCAGCCGCATCCCCTTTCCCACCAGCCTCTCCTCGAGAAACCAGGCGTCCTCCGTCCCACCGCTCCTCCTGCGCTCAGCAGCATCTGTCCGGTGACGGCACACGGCAGCCACGGTGACAGGGGACAGTCTACCGGGAGCTTATCTCAGCGCCATCTGCTCTCGGAAGGTTTTACCTTACACAGTGACATGTGAAACTTGAAATATTCATCTTGTCGGTGGGGTGTCCCAACTGGCACACACGCGTTCGTGCAAAACGCTGTTCGTGCGGGGCTGCGATGCATCTTTCGACCTCACACTCCTGGGAAGCGCCGAGGAGCCGCGCCGGCTGCCCCGTGTGCTGCAGGGACGTCCGCGCAGCACCGCAGCACAGAGCAGAGCAGAGCCCGCGCCGCAGACACCCACGCCGTGACCCCGGCAGCTCCTCACTCCAACCACCGTGCCCCGGCAGAGGGTGTGGGCACACGTGCGTGGGGAACAGTACGGTGTGGAAAAAAATACTAAGTGACCTTTTTTGACCTTCCAAAGGATTTGGGTTGACCCCATTTTGGGCTGAGGGCAGTTTCTCCTGCTGTCTGTGCCGCGGTGACATTCTCTGCACCACTCCCCGCACACAGCGGGGATCCATGGCAGTCGCCTGGTGCAAATACACATGTGCACGGGTACACATGCAGAGAAGGGTTTTTGGATTAATTTCACTTTGTTAACGTCAATGAAACCAAACGTCAGCTTCCAGAACTGTATAAATAATTGAAACACTATTACAGAGCTAATGCTCCAGGTACGACTCGGATAGATTTTTCCAGAGTGCATCAATACGCGTTTTATGGATTCCATGAAAACGGGTCAATGAGAATTTCAAGGATTTAATAAGGCATAATGGACCGGCTTTGGACTATTTAAAGACATCTATGGAGATGACCGGGGTGCGGGCTTTGGCAGAGGTCCACGGGACCTCGGGCAGGAGCGGTGGGAGTCGCACAGGCTTCCCACAGCCGGCAGCGGCTCAGAGCCGCTCATTCTCCTTCCCTCCGCTTCAGGCACCAGAGCTGCTGATGGCATCCGAGTATGACTGCTTTGGGTTTTTGTGCTGGTTTGGTTTTTGTTTTTTTATTTTTAAATTGTTTCAAGCCAATAGACACCATGAGCTGCAGCACTCAATGGTGGAAAAGGACAGTGGATTATTGCTGTTTGCCGTCTAAGCCAGCGCCCGCGCACGCTGCTGAGGAAGACCTGCAGAACCTCTCCCGTCCATCCTCCACCCCTGCTCACTGCCACCAGCCCTCCAGCCAGGGACCTTGGCGCTCCGTTCCCCCAGGCAAGCGGCCACAGCAAAAGAGTCAGAGAAATAATGCGAGAACATGAAGAGATGGGGAGTAAGAGCCTTTTCCCATTGAGCAGGGACCTCCAGCCAGGGAGGTCTCGGGGGGCAGAGCCGCCCCGGCAGCGCCACGGGGCCAGCGGGACCGGCACCGACGGCGGTGGGCAGACGGCTGAACCCTCGCCCAACCTGCCCAGACACGGCCATCCTCCGGCACAGCCGACACCACGAACTTTTTTTCCCCTTCCATTCTAATCTAATTATATTTCTGTGTTCAATAGCTGAGCATAATGTTGAACAGGCTATTCCGAGTAAGCTGCAGTCAGGGAAGGCTGGAAATTTCATTTATGCTGAATATATGATTCATTACAGCGGGGACTCGGGACAGACCAATTAATTCACCTGAGCGCGTGGCTCAAACGGGCACTGCTGCCCCGCGGTGAGCTGGCACGCGGTGAACCCTGATTGCTTTCCCTGCCACCGCTATCGGCCCCGCCACCTTCCACAGCAGTACGAGGAGGTGAAAACGGCCCAAGCTAGTTCAGAAAATTGAAAAAACATCCTCAAACGAGGTACTGTTGAAACCAGTACAGCGCTGTTGTACTCTTTCGGTTGCAGCAGCATCTGAGGCATGAACCCGGCTGCTGGGCGCTGCACACACGGGCTTGCAGGCTCGGCTTCCCACGGAGCAAGGAGGGCACGGGAACAGGAGGAGGAGAAGGAGGAAGAGGAGGAAGAGGAGGAGGAGGAGGAGGAGGAGCAAGAGGAGGAG